ACAACGTAATATAAGAGCAAATACTATAAAACTCTTAGAGAAAAACACATGGGTAAATCTTCATGACCTTGAATTTGGCAATGGATTCTTAATTATGACACCAAAAGGAGAAGCAAAAAAGAAAAAATAAGTAAACTGGACTTCATCATAATTAAAAACTTCTGTGCAACAAAGGAGATTATCAAGAAAGCAACAGGACAATCTGCAGAATGGAAGGAATCTCACTGGAAATGCAGAATTTAAAAGCTGTCACTGAATTCTGAACTTTGGTTTTCAGGTCTTGACAATGTGACCAAACCAACCTTGCTATTAAATCTTGCTCATGACTTTGTTTTTATCTCCCTAATGGATTACCTCTGTTGCAATCCTTGCTTTTCTCTTCCTTCCTTTCTTCCTTCCTTTCTTTCCTCTCTTTTCCCTTTTCACTTTATTTTATGCATTTAAAAAAATTTTTATTTTCAACGTTTGTACATATTTGTGGAGTACAGTGTGTTGTTTCAATATTTGCATATAATGTACATTGATTCACTTAGAATAGATAGCATAGCTTTGTGCTGTTAATCCACAACTTCCTTTCCTATACCACCTTCTAGTAACTATTATTTTACACTCTACTTCTATGAAAACCACTTTTTTTTTCCACTTCCCCATGAATGAGATCATACAGTATTTGTCTTTCTGTGCCTGGCTTACTTCACTTAACATTATGGTCTACAGTTCCACCCATGTTGCTGCAAATGACAGGATTTTATTTTATTTTTATAACTGAAAGTATCCCATTGTGTATATATACCACAATTTTTTTTTCCATTTACCCACTGATGGGCATTTAGGTTGATTCTATCTCTTGGCTATTGCGAATAGTGTTGCAATGAACATAGAAGTGCAAGTGTCTCTGAGATATTGATTTCATTTCCTTATATAACTAGTAGTGGGATTGCTGGGTCATAAAGGTAGTTCAGTTTTTAGATCTCTAAGAAAATGCCATACTGTTTTCCACAATAGTTGTACAAATTTACATTCCCACCAACAATGTAGGAGAGTTTCCTTTATCTGCATCCTCACCAGCATTTGTTATTTTCTGTCTTTTTGGTACTAGCCATTTTAACTGTAGTAAGACGATATCTCCTTATGGTTTAAATTTACATTTCCCAGATGATTAATGATGTTGAGCATTTGTTCATGTACCTGTTAGCTATTTGTATGTCTTCTTTTGAGAAATATCTCTTCATATCCTTTGCTCATTTTTTAATTGGGTTAATTGTGTTTTTTGATGTTGAGTTGTTTGAGTTCCTTATATATTCTGGATATTAGCCCCTCGTCTGATGTGTAGTTTTTAAACACTTTCTCCCATTCTGTAGGTTGTGATTGTGTCCTTTGCTGTGTAGAAGCTTTTTAGCTTGATGTAGTCCATTTCTCTATTTTTGCTTCAGTTGCCTGTACCTTTGTAGTCTTGTTCAAAAAAGTGCTGCCTACTTTCATTTCACCTATGTTTTCTTCTAGTAGTTTTATATTTTGGGGTCTTAAATTTAGGTCTTTGATCCTTTTTGAGTTAATTTCTGTGTATGGTGAGACACAGAGGTCTTGCTTCAATCTTATGCATATGGATATCCAGTTTTACCAGCACCATTTATTGAAAAAGCTGTCCTTTACTCAGTGTGTATTTTTGGCACTTTTATCAAAAATCAGTTGGCTGTAGATGTATGTTCCATTGGTCAATTTGTCTGTTTTTATGCCAGTACCATGCTGTTTTGGTTACTACAGCTTTAGAGTATATTTTGAAGTCAGGTACTGTGATGACTCCAACTTTGCTCTTTTTGTTCAAGATTGCTTTTGCTATATGGGGTCTTTTATGATTCCATACAAATTTGAAGATAGTTCTATTTCTGTGAAAAATGTCATTGGTATTTTGAGAGGGATTGGATTAAATGTGTAGATTTCTTTGTGTAAATATGGACATTTTGATAATATTAATTTTTCCAATCCATGAACAGGGAATATCTTTTATTTGTGTCCTCTTCAATTTCTTTCAGCACTATTTTATAGTTTTCATTGTAAAGATCTTTCACCTTCCTGGTTAAATTAACTCCTATGTATTTCATTTCTTTTGGTAGCTATTGTGGATGGGATTACTTTCTTGATTTCTTTTTCATATATTTTGTTATTGGTGGATAGAAACACTTGATTTTTGTGTATTGATTTTGTATCCTGCCATTTTACTGAATTCATTTATTAAATGAATTTTTGGTGGAATCTTTAGGGTTTTCCATGTATATGATCATGTCATCTGTCAATGGGGTAGTTTGACTTCCTCCTTTCCAATTTGGATGCCCTTTATTGTTTGCACTTGCCTTATTGCACTGGCTAGAATTTCCAGTACTAGGTTGGATAAGAGTGGAGAAAGTAGGCATCTTTCTCTTGTTCCAGGTCTTAGAGGAAAAGGCTCCAATTTTTATCCTTTCAGTATATTAGCTATGGGTTTGCCATAATGGTCTTAATTGTGTTGAGGTATATTCCTTCTATACCTACTTTGTTGAGTGTTTTTATCATGAAGAAGTGTTGGATTTTATCAAATGCTTTTTCTATGTCTATTGGAATGATTTTTAACCCCTTCATTCTGCTGATGTGATGTATTACATTTATTGGTTTGCATATATTGAACCATCCTTGTATCCCCAGGATAAATCCCATTTGATTATGGTGAATGATCTTTTTAATTTGTTGTTGGGTTCAGTTCACTTGTATTTTGTTGAGAATTTTTGTATCTATGTTTATTAGAAATATTGGTCTGTAGTTTTTTGTGTGTCTTTTTCTGGTTTTGGTATGAGGATAATGCTGGACTTGTAGAATAAGTTTGTAAGCATTTCCTCCTCTTCAATTTTTTAGAAAAGTATGAAGAGAATTAGTATTAGTTCTTTAAATGTTTGGTAGAATTTGGCAGTGAAGCCATCTGGTCCTGAGGTTTTCTTTGTTCAGCGTCTTTTTATTATTGTTTCAATTTCATCACTTTTTGTCTAATCCTTCATGATTCATCCCCAGTATGTTGTATGTATCCAGGAATTTATCCATTTCTTCTAGGTTTTCCAGTTTGTTAGTGTACAGTTGTTTGTAGTAGTTCTAATGATGCTTTGTATTTCTGTGGCATCAGTTGTAATGTCTCCTTTTTCATTTCTGATTTTATCTGAGTCTTCTCTTTTTTCTTTGTTAGGTTTATTGATTTTACCTTTTTGAAAAACCTACTTTGTTTTACCTATCTTTTGTACTGTTTTTAAATATCAAACTCATTTATTTCTGCTCTGATATTTGTTATTGCCCTCCTTCTACTAATTTTGGATTTGGTTTGTTCTTGTTTTTCTAGCTCTTTGAGGTGTAACATTAGGTTGTTTATGTGAACTCTACTTTTTTTGAGGTAGGCATTTATTGCTATAAACTTTCCTCTTGGGAGTGCTTTTGCTCTATCCTGTAGGTTCTGGTATGTTATATTTTCATTTGTCTCCAGGAATTTTTAAATTTCTTTTTTGACCCACTCATTGTTTAGGAGTATGTTTAATTTCCACGTATTTGTACAGTTTCCAATGTCCCTTCTGTTATTGATTTCTACTTTTATTTTGTTATGGTCAGATGAGATAGCTGGTATGATTTTAACTTTTTAAATTTGTCAAGACTTGTTTTGTGACCTAACATACGGTCTATTCTAGAGAATGTTCCATGTGCTGCCAAGAAAAATGTGTATTCTGCAGCTGTTGGATGAAATGTTCTATAAATGTCTGTTAGGTCTAATTGGCCTAGAGTAGAGATTAACTCTTCTATTTCTTGGTTAAATTTCTGTCTGGATGATCTGTCTTTTGCTGAAAGAGGGGTACTAAAGTCCCCACCTATTACTGTGTTGTAATCTATTTCTGCCATTAGGTCTAGTAGTATTTACTTCATGTATCTGGGTGCTCCAGAGTTGTTGGGTGCATATATACTTAGAATTATTATATCTTTTTGAATTGATTTATTATTTTATAATGACCTTCTTCATCTTTTTAAAAAATTTCCTTGGCTTGAAGTCTATTTTATTCAATACAAGTATAGCTACTCCTGCTCTTTTTTGATTTCCGTATGCATGAAATATCTGTCCAGGATCCTTGCTTTTCTATGGCAAATTCTTAGAACCCTCTGTTTGACCACAATCCCCCTTTCTGCAACAAAAGCTTGTTTCATTACAGATTCCGGTACTCTGTGGACCCAGAACCACAGTCCCTTGATATGATCCTGAAGCAGCCAAATGCTTTAAAGGGAAATATTTAGGAACCTAGATATTTGCACCTGTATCTCCATATTTTTGTGTGCCAAGAAGAATTTGAATCAAATTCTCTATTCATACATCAGTTCTAAACTATGGATCTTGGAGAAATGTTGTTATTAGGACAAATCCCAGTGGTTGGTATAGGGAATTCATATTTATGCAGGACCAAATTCAGTTCAATATTTTTATCCTGCTACAATTAAATTTTTTAAGTGTCAATTAATTACCATGTTCTTCAGATCTCTGCCAAAATTCCTCTTCTCCCCTCCACCAAAAATAAAAACAAATAAAAATACATCAATAAATAAACTTAAGTTGCTGCAAATTTACCGGAGAATTCAAGCCTGTTTCTGGAAGTTTCAACTCACCCAATCAGACAAAAGCTGAGGAAGGGAGGCATTTATCAAGTTACACAGACTCCATCTGTTATCTTAGACCTTTGTTACCAAGTGACACAAGAGCAGATACTCAAAGGCAGTTTGAAAGAGTTTTATTTTACAGATTCTTAGTCCAAAGATTTCAATTAGAGAGAAGCAGCAGCAGAAGAGAAAATTCAAGTGTGAGTAATGAAGAAACCTTCATCTATTGACATTTAACCTGGCAAGAACCATCATCAATGATGAAGTTGCCCTTTCGGCTGGGATCTGTCCATTCAGCTTCTACAATAAATGCACTCAAAGGGGCAGTCCCTTCTCCTTGTTCACAAAGGTCTTGTTTTTGAGCCTTGCCTTCAAAAAAGCTGTGTCTCATCATGCCAAACCAACAGAAGAAAATCATTTTTTGCACAGCTGGGGTGTTAAGCTTCGTGTGTGCCCTTGGAGTTGTGACAGCCCTTGGGACACCGCTGTGGATCAAAGCCACCATCCTCTGCAAAACAGGGGCTCTGCTCGTCAATGCTTCAGGACAGGAGCTGGACAAGTTCATCGGCGAGCTGCAGTACGGGCTTTTCCACGGACAGGGCGTGAGGCAGTGCGGGTTAGGAGCAAGGCCCTTTCAGTTCTCATGTAAGTAACAATTGTATTTGAATTATTTAATACTTTAGGCACACTCTTCCTAGGGTTGCAAGGAATTATTTTTAAGAGTCTTGCCCTGTCTATTGCAGGACTTTTTAGACAGGTATGAATTATTTGAAATACCTAGGACTAAGGGAAATTTCTGTTTTTGTTTTTATTTTATTATTTTATTTTTGCTATTTTTACTATAACATATAGTTATTTAGTTACATAATTAAACTTTTTGAAAATATAAGCAATTAAGATTCTTAAGTATTAATATTCATGTAAGAAATTACAGGGTCTTTTTAAGAATGGGAACTTGAGGACACAGAGCTGTAAGAAATTATCTTCATGCCTTTTGTTCTTTAAAAAAGAACCAGTGTCATTGGCCCCTTAACTAAGGCCTGCTTTTCCACCTTGCTCACAACTTTGTTTTCTGTCTCCCCCTATTATTCCTGCTAGGACCTTTGCTGCTGATAAATATTCTGTTTTCACTTTTAACCAATTTGGAATCACTTGGCTATAGAAATTTAAAATGATTTGCTGTGCCAGCTGGAAAAGAAACAGATGCCTATTTAGTATAGAAAATGTGCAACTGATTGACCTTCTAATCATGTAGAGAACATGAGACAGATTTTTCTGTCGTGATTTTTGTGAAATGGAAGTGTTATCCACAGTATTTATAACCTGTTTACGTTAAGAGAATTTTTTAAAAAATCACCATGTGAATAGGCAACTCATTAAATGAAAATTAATAAGAAGTCATTTGTTATATCTCTCACAACACACATTCAGAAGTTATTACTGTTTCAAAAGGACTGGTTTGGAACAATCGTATGAAGACACAGTCAGTAAATTACTGAATAAATCACTCTTCAGGAAAGGTGGTTACCAATTGAAGCACTTAAAGTGAATTATTATTTTGCCTGGATTTTTCTCTAGTATAGGTAGAAGGCTAAATTAATTGAATTTATTATTGACATATGCACTAATATGTCTAATTAAATTTCGGTGCTGGCCTATTTATATTTCTGCAACATTCTTTATATCTTCTTAGCAGTCATTGGGCACCAACCTTCAACTCACATAGGTTGCTAAGTGATATGAATTTTCATAAGGCTCCAGAAGATTCCCAAGAATTAGTCTTCAGCTTTTCAAGAAATTATCATCAATTAGATTGATGAAGTGGATACCAGCCCTTTTTGCTGGATGGCTTTAGTTCATTAAACTAATGGGACTGTTTGAGTTGCTTAGCTTTCCTTGGGGGGGTAGGGGAACAAAGCAAGATGACATGTGATTTGCAACTGTATTAAAAAACAAAAAAGGAAAAATGCGAGTGAAATAGTTTAACCATGACTCACCAGCAGTAAAGCTTCTCATAAATGAGCTGTTTGAGTTGCTTAGCTTTCCTTGGGGGGGTAGGGGAACAAAGCAAGATGACATGTGATTTGCAACTGTATTAAAAAACAAAAACGGAAAAATGCGAGTGAAATAGTTTAACCATGACTCACCAGCAGTAAAGCTTCTCATAAATGAATTTAGACAAAAGCAGGGAGCGTACAGTGCATTTCTGGAGCCTTTGTGTTTTCTGCAGTGAAATGGAGATGAACTTTATGCATGCCACAGGACAAGTTTCAGAACAAGGATGTTTTCTGAACACCTGCTACACGTGGAGCACTTTACACTCGTGTCTCATTTCATCCTCACACGGCCACGTTCTTCTATGGCACAGTGAATGATTTTCGTGGCTGTGTCTTCCTATGCTGCTTCTGCCCAGGATGAAGTTGTCCTCATCGGGCGCCCCTCCCTTTGCTTTCCGCGAGGACTTGCAGAGCTGGTAGGGTTTAAACAATGCCCTTGCCTGTCTCACGGAATTGCATTAGTTCCCGCGATACCCCGTACCCTTTCCCAGTCTTGTGAAGAAAATCTTACATTTGCTTGTTTACTCTGTAGTGACAACACTCTCTGTATACTATAGACTACACATGTTAAGTACATTCTATATACTGTACTGTATATACATGCTAAAATCTCATTCATTTTGGTAAGACCCAGTGAAGTATTCTTATAGTGCAACTTTATTCTGCCTTGGCATAAAAGTATCTCTTTTATGGATACATAAAATGGAACATGAGAGAGGGTTGAGAAAACTGTAGAATAAACAGACCCAAGGGACTGACCCAATAGCATAATGTTCATTTAAATAAACACCCCTCTCAATGTTAAAACTTCCTAATCATTGTACCTTCAGGACTCATTAGACCCTCAGTTTCCACTCCCACTGCTATAAAGCTTGTGGTTCACATCTCCCCATTCAAAATGCCATCACCCTGTCAATGATGTTTCATCAACGTATCCTTGAAGGAGGCAAGTCCTTTGATATTCTTCTTGATAGAAAAATGTGAACCCTGTTAACATAAACTTATAAGAGGCTTAACCCTGTCTTCTCAATAATGGCTTCCTTGGAGCAAAATCCCAGGGCCTCCAGAGAAGCACATGATTCTTTTCTGTTTCTTCCAGAACCCAATTTATGTTTAGAGCACACCTCATTTCCCTTTCTTGTTATCCCTTTAGAAAGTCTGTAAGCAAACAGTTGGATTTGCAGAAACTTTTCACTGTAAGAGGAATGGAAAAGGTAACTTATCAAAGTATCCATCACTCTGGAGCCAGTTTTCTTCGCATTGTCATGTTATCAGTTAATATGAATTTGTATTTCAATTCTCTTGCATTGCTAAACCCTATCTTGCTTACCAAAACTTTTCATTTAGATCAGCATTGGCCAACAGAAATATAATGCAAGCCATAAATGCAAACCACATATGTAATTTAAAATGTTCTAGTAAACATATTAGGAAAAAAAAAAGTAAAAAGAAACAAGTGAAATTCATTTTAATGATACTTTCTCTTTAACCCAAGATATCTAGAATACTATTTTGACACATAATCAATATAAAAATTGAGATATTTTACATTCTTTTTTTTCTTGGTGCTAAGTCTTTGAAATCTAGTGTGTATTTTACCTTTACAGCATACCAAATTCAGACTAGCCACACTTAGCTGCTCATTTTAATGGCTACTGTATTGAACAGTACAGATTTAGATGGAGATTCAGTCTGAATAAATTGGCTGTTGACATTGTCCATATTCTAAACACATTTTTGCATGGTTCTGCTGTACAAGTCTACGTGTGTAATTTTTATGTGCAATGTTTGTGTCACTTTTAAAACCCAGATATGTAGTATAACATGAGAATGAAGAATGGACCACAAAAATAGTTTGGCAATGTAGTCATGCTTGTTTCTATTAAATGTTCTCTACTGACCACTCTATCTCTTTTAATTACAACAAGAATCTGCACTGCCAGCATGCAGTTATGCTGGGAAAACTTCTGCCTCGTTTACTCTGGCTGATTCTCATCCATTTACGGGTCAGTGGTTCATTTTCTAGAGGTCACCAGCATTAATACCTCGGGCACAATTTCATTCATTATAATGAAGAAATGTTTTCCTTTCAAGGCAACACAACTGGTGGGCTTAATTTTTCCTGATATGCCACCTATAAAATTTTAATGATGATGTTTAAATGTAGCCATCAAGACAAAAATTGCCAGTTTTGAGCTCAGAGTGTGTGGGTGGGTTTCTGTTTTGGTGGTTTGAAACGCTGCAGAACATCATCAAAATATAATATCCAAGAATCATATGGTATCAATCATTCCTAGATATACTGATCTATTCATTGCCAAGACGGTTCAGTGAGCTGGTAAAAACATATGGAATTATTTTTTTTAAATGTGAAAAATAAAATTTAACCAATCATGAATTACAGCTTGCAACTTTTCATGCTTTGAAACGCATTTTAATTTGGACCTTATGATTGAAAATTTGTAGTAAGCTTAACAGAGGTTTAGCTTGCTTCATATTTTAGAAAAGCAGTTTCTTTACTAAATGAGGCATATGACCCAGATTAAAGAGATATTGAAACTACTTCTGCGAGCAAACAAGTGGCTTCTTGAACATATTTGGGATAGAACAGTTGGCACTCAGGGTCTCTGTGATCATCACTGAGAACTGGCACTCTCTTTCTCCATGGTCTCCTGCTGACCTGCCCTGCCCCGGGTGATCCTGGTCTCCATGCTGCATACCCTACCTCTCTCCTACCACCCTGCGCACGGCAGAGAGACAGAGGTCTCTGACGTACATCCTTCTGGTAACACTGCCTGTCTCTCCTCCCCACTTGTGTGGAAGCAGCGTGGCGGGGGGCTGGTGTGTATGGAAGAAGCCTATGGAGTTCACCTGGGAAAACCACCTGGTGTGGGGAAGGTGGCAGAGCCACCTGCATTGTTTCCCCTAGCAAGCAGAGGCCCTCCTGCCTTTTAGCTTAGGGGCCCAATTGTCTAGTCTCACTCCCCTATTAAAACAGTCCAGCAAATAGAGGTTTTGTTTACCACCCATTAAAAAAAAGTTTGATTAATGGAACAGAAGACAGTTTGTGTGACATACCAGTGTGAAGGAAAAACCTTCAACCTCTCTCAGCAAAATAATTGTTTTCCCCTCTGTCCTTCCCAGACCTTGACTTTGCTCCAGTACTTCAAAACTCCTGTAAGTATTTGAGAATGTGTATTTCTCTTCAAGGAAATCTTAATCTTCAAGAAGGCAGGGGCTGTGTATGATTTACCCCAGTATGCCTTCAAATCAGGGCCCAGGACAGTGCCTGGCACAAAAAGGTACCTAATACATGCTTGGTAAACTGATGCCATTGGGATTAAGCAACCTGGACTCAAGGCGGGTCTTTGCCACTCATGAGAGATTAGAACTTGAGCAAACCCCATCACTTCCTTGATTTTCACTTCCTTCATCTGTAAACAGCCATTGGGATTAAGCAACCTGGACTCAAGGCGGGTCTTTGCCACTCATGAGATTAGAACTTGAGCAAACCCCATCACTTCCTTGATTTTCACTTCCTTCATCTGTAAACAGGTAATTTCTAACCTCTTACAGTTCAAATACTCT